AATAGAACATAATTATGACATTATCTATATTTAATCAACAGCGGTTATAAAGTACTATTTCTAGTCAATATTATCATATGTATAATTATTCACCATCTTATAAGGTTGTAAATAGTTTTAACACCAAAATTAAAAAAAATCAAGCAAAGTTTCGTTTTATTACAAAAGTATGCAGAAAAACTACTACCAGACAGGGGGTTTGAAAATGGAATGGGTCTATCTACGTCTTAATTTTCAAAAAAATATGTATTTACTGTGCAATCAGGGGTTTTACACATAAAACCAAACTTCAAGTATGTTATCAACGAGGCATCAGAAAGATGCACTAACAATAAAATTGTTATTTCAAGTTTGAGTGATTTTGAAGTTTGAAGTGAAATGCCTGATCGCATAGCAAACACATAGATGACATGACAGTTACTACCAATTCATACGAAGATAGACCCATAACACAGCGTTACCATAACTTTTTGATTTTATCGGAGAATGGCCCCTGTGAACTTTGGCAGTTCGTTCCTAACAATTCATACGAAGATCAACCCATAACATAGCATTCATAACATTTCTATTTTATCTGAGAATTTGCCCCTGAATCTGCCAAAGTAGAGCATGATTTGCCAATGACAAAATGTATAACTATATTTATACTCTCTAAGAATTACCATCATTAATGAACTAATGTATTTGTGAAAAGTTGCCAAATGCCCTAAATTGTTAGACACACGACATTGAGTACAACTGACGATATCAACAATTATGAAAAATCTGGTTCCAGTTGAATTTTAGGATAATTTTATATGAAACTCAGTAGAAATTATTTCACACACTTTTCCAGTTTATCGTAAGGATTTATAGAATTATTTTGCAACACCAACCGCTGAATAAATTTATTATACAAATAAATGCAAATATTATATTAAATTCAAAATAAATTTTCAGATAATATTCGTCCAGAACGCTAATGATGATATTGATGATGATAATAAAAAGATATATTTAAAAAAAAAATTGCAGATTGAGTAAGGTCCTATAAGTAGTAAAAAAAAATATGAGCCATCGTACAAACTGATTTTGCAGTTGTTTGATTTTAAACGAACATAATAGAAAATAACTGCATACTTCTATAAGAAGACGATATTTATTACCATCATATCAATAATTATTAATAAAGTATGACATAGCTCAGTAACAATGTATTTCGAACCTTCAGTTGTCTATCACAAGTGGAATATTTTATATATGAGAAAATGCAGTAAAATGCGAATAAAATCTGTCTAAAGAAGATTACGTATAAATATATTTAAATTAAAATGTCCCAAAAATCTGGTGAAATCTTAAAAGCAATCTTAAATCTGGTCCAGATGCTAAATTGCTTCTTAAGACCCATATAAATGTAGTTTACATATGAAGATTGTGCCTCGGATTATAAAAGAACATTTACTAAATCTGTTAGTATTTATTATAGATAAATTTACATAAAAATTTATGTATCAAATTTAATGCATTTGAATACAACTGGTGCACCCCTAAAAGTATTTTACTGAAATACTCAAAAAACGTATCATATTTCAAGAATATCTCGCTTGTATTTAAGCAGAGGTCCTGCTTCGAGGAGCCTGATGTCAAGCAGTAGTGACATCACTTGGAAATACAGATAGCAAAATGTTTCCAAGCGAAAAATATTCCTTATCCGGCATTGCTGCATCAATAAAATATTCGCCCTATTACAAAAATTGTAATAATGAAATTTATTATATCAAAATGAGACAATTGTTTGGGTTGCCATCTGTAGAACTGACATAGTATCAAGTCAAATTAGTACAATAACTTATTAGTCCAGTCATTATAGTAAGTTCACCTCGGATTTCGAGATATCCAGCTGTAAGTCTGTAAATACTATGTAAATACACCCTAAAAGTTGTCTCAAAACCTACATATGGTAGGGTATACGTACCATATGTAGGGTTTTGAGACAACTTTTGAGGTGTATTTACAGACTTACAGCTGGGTATCTCGAATTCCGAGATTCTTACCTAATTTAAGCTTAAATGACTGAATTATATACATTATAGGACTTAAGTCATGATAAGAAAAATAATAATAAATATATTTGCAGATAAGAATGATCAATTTCAGTATAGACTTTTATTTGTATACTTTGTAATAATAGTAAATTGCGAGATATCTATACGTTTTTGAAATATTCAAAGCTTGCAGTTTGAAGAGCTTTTAACTATTCTTATATTTTGCATTTCTTGCACTGTGACAGAAATCAATACAACAGTGAAGCATACCAAAAACTCGGAATACTTGGATTCTTGGATGCAAACCTTGTATTCTACTTGTAGAACTTATACGACTGTAAAGTTTTTGCTCAAAGCCTTTTATTACATACCCTAAAAACAGTATTTATTTTCAACCATTACAGGTACCAAAAATGTACAGATCCTCGGAGTTATTTACTGTAAGAAGCTTTACTTGAAAAACCACCTAGTGTTTATTTAAATACCGTCGTCCGTATATTTACATGAGTATGTAGTATGTGCGCTTATGTGACTTTGTATTCATGCTAATGCAACAATTTTTACGCTCTGTTCCAATACGTAGATGTTGTTCTGGTGCGCTGTTATCGCTATGTGTTATGCGTTATGTGTTATACGTTATGCGCTATGCACTATGTGCTATGTGCTATGCGCTATGTGTGTGCATCGAGGAATGCGCCGAGTACACACAATATTCATCGACAACACACCGCGGACTGCATTCCATTCCACGGAGTCCTCCAAGCCATCGGCGGCGGCCCGAAAGAGATGATACACAGCACAGTTTGTTAATGAAAGCGCTGGTTATAATATTTCAAGATCAAAAGAAATAGTAAATGGTGGTGTGTGGCATCGTGCCTTAAGGCAAATTGCTGGAACTTCCCGTACTGAAAAGCTTTAAAAAAAATGCTTTAGGTTTTTTGTAAAACTTTGAAAAAGATTTTTGAAAATCTTGAAAAAAATAGATTTTTTGAAAAAAAAAATTTATATTTGGAATTTTTTGAAAATTTTGACCGTTTGTCAAAGCAATTTCGCTTTCAAAACTTTGAAAACAATTTTTCAATTTTGAGAAAAATTGATTTTTTGAAAACAAAAAATTTTATATTTGAAAATTTTGACCGTTTGTCAAAGCAATTTCGGTGCATTAGCTGCGTAAGAACGAAATATCAAAGCGCGTAAGCGCCGCTTCGCTGTTTAACGGATAAACATTGGTACGGAACCCATAGAAATGTAAACAAAATTTGTTCTTATTAAATTGCTTTATAAAATATCTGTTAATTTGATGTGCATAAATCTAATGATCATTTTTGACAGCCAAATGGCATTTCTTTTTACTTTTTTTATCAATCGAATAAAAAATCGAATCAGTTTTTCGTTTCGTCAATACAAATAAAACGTTTCTTGAATTATTCAAATCGGATGCTCCGTTCTCTCAAAAACTGAATTACCATCTTTGGCACTTCTTGCCACGTATTTTCGAAACTCTGGACCCTCTTTTTCCAAAAACTAATTTACTATCTATTTATCTATGTTGAGAGTTTTGAAATGTGCCGCTGGAGGTGAATGGAACAAATAAAGTGGACAGACAAAATAACAAATGAAGTCCTGAGAAGAGTGGGCGACAAAAGGACTTTACTGAGCACGATCCTGAAAATAAAAGGAAACTGGATTGGACCCTCTCTACAAAGTAAGTGCCTTCTGCACGACGTCGTCGAGAGTAAAATAGGAGGAATGAAAGGAATGGAAAGAAGAAGAATGCAGACGATTGACGACTTACGCGAGAAGAGAATACAGGGAACTGAAAGCCAAAGCAGAAGATCAAGAAGCATGGAATCAGAAGTTCGTAAAGGAAAATACATAAAATAAAAAAGGGAAAGGGGAATAGTGGTAATAGGTTGAAGGGTATGGGAATCATTTATTTGTGGTGGCTCTCACACCATGGACCTGCCTTCGGACAGACTACTATTTATTATTATTATTATATCTATGCTATCAAATTTGCTTTATAACTGACTCCTTCATACTTCTATTACTACTAACCTCTACAAATTCTATCTCAAATCCACAATTCAAACTCTACTTAATTTCAATCCAACAAATCAAATGACAATTTTGTGTCAGTGCCAGGGCTCAAACCGAGTATCCCCTGGCGTGTGAGTGCTACTACTGAGCTATTCCCACCACAATTTAAGGGTTCTATGAGCTGTTGTGATAGTTTCCTGAACTACTGAATGGCAACCTAAACAATTGTCCTATCTCTATGTGTTAAATCTTCATTATTACCAATCACTAATACTGATCAATTTTTTAACAATGCCGGGTAAAGGCTATTTTCACTTAGCAACATATTGCTACCTATATTTTCCAGTGAAAACTGATAAAACTACTAAGCAAGAGAGTTGTTGGATTGAATTCATAACAGAAGAATTACATTACTCAATCTTTGATTAATCCCATAGCTCTAACCGTTACCTCTTTCCAACAGACGAAAGGCCAAGTAAGAGAATAATAAGTTTTAAATTAGCAACCGAAATTTGACCTAAATGTTGCACTTGCACGTCACATAACATAATATAAATAATAAAACAAAGATTCAAGAAAAAGCTTGCTAAAGAAAATTTGAATCACACTAACGTATATCGTGGATTTTGACTTCCTTAAAAAAAAAACAGTAAGTCATTTGCATTTAATAATACGAATCTTTCCAAAGTAATTTCTTTTTCATGGACAAGAGATTTACTTGCACTTTCTAGGAAGGAACTAATTGTATACCCAATATTATCATTATATATTTAGAGATCTGTTATAAGCCTTGTACTCGTATAAAAAGTGGAGCTAATTTTACGCATCATTTTTATTTGATTCGTGTTTAAATATAGGAAGGATTAAGCAGAATTTTCGTTAAAACAATCAAAATGTATTGATAGCTACAACATTGTACAATATTGATCTGACAGCAAATATGACAGGTATGAAATGATGCATGTAGAGCTGAATAAAACACGTAAAACTGATAAATTAAACCCTTCGTCGCTTAAACAGATTTTTATTTACATCTAAATATTTAGTATTTGACACCTCATTCGTTCATGATTACATATATATATAATTTGTGTAAGAACTACAAAAGATTTGGGCTGGTGTAACAAAGCTTCAACATCGAATGCCAGTTCCAATAGCCATGAATGTTCCGAAAGTGCCACCACCTTGAAGCATGACTTTTCCAACATTATTTACAAGTTCACGTCCTCTCATTCCATACCTCAAGGCAGAAAATCCTCCAAATAGAGCACCACTGGCCAAACCGACACAAAAACCAATAGTGAAGCCCATTTTCATTTTGTCGAAGCAAGTGGGCCCTTGCTGATACATGCCGGAGGAGGACGAGATAGGCATTTTGAGTGTTTCAAATTTTCATAACAATTTGACTTTTAAGTTGATATTGATTGCCTTTCTTGTACGACGCCGTTGTTGTGATTTGTTTGTTAAATTATTTACGTCGCACAATATGATGATGATAGCTATTAAATAGCTTTTTCACATTACGTCACAATTTAGATGTCATTTTTCGAATGTTTTGCCATGTGAGGTTTTGTTTTGTTTCGGGCAATAAATTATTCTAGACGTATATTTTTTTGTTTCTAGTTCGGGTATAAGACAATTCATTTCAATACAAAAAATATTGAAATTGAAATATATTAGAATACACTATCGCTGGTACAAATATATGCAATTAATGCCAATTGCTTTGTGTATTATAATTTGTACGCACTAACCAAAATAACTAGTAGAAATACCATTATGAGCTGTTGTGATCATTTACTAAACTAACTACATCTGTTTTTATCGTGTGGCCAAACAATCCCATCTAAATGTGATTGTAGATTTTCATTATTACCAATTTCTGTAATACTGATCAATTTTTTATAGCTGCAGCAAGTCCAAGTGAAGGAAGGCTATTTTTACATATTGCTATCTATATTACCAAGCGAGAAGAACAATGTCAATATTCGACTAATACATTCTAAGTATCACCAAAAATTTGCTGATATTCCACAATGGATTAGGTGCAGATATTTAAAAAAATAAGGCTTAAGGATAATGAATGTGTTAAATGGAAAATGAACAATTGCAATATCATATCTTAATGTAAGCTTCAACAAAGGAAAACGTGATCAAAGTTAGATTTCTGACTGATCTACTGCTAAATTCATGCGTATTATTTAGTTGTACTTTAAAAGTTTAGAATATACTGTCCTTAATGCAAATATAAGCAATTTATATACAATTAATGCAAATTGATTTGTGTAATATATTTTATACGCACTAATTAATATAACTGGTAGAAATACTGATTTTATAATTTGGAATTCTTTAAGTTACCATAATACCTGAATGTCCAATCACTGGATTGGCATTCGATTTAGGCATTGTAAGTATTACCAAAAATTTGCTGTTTTTTGGTCTGTTGTCCTATCTCTATGCGATGAATCCTCATTATTACCAATTTCACTAATACTGACCAATTTTTTTTACTGATGCAGCAGTGCCGGAGAAAGACTATTTTCACTTGGCAACATATTGCTATCTCGAAAACTGATATCACTACAGAGCAAGAAAGTTGTTGGAATAAATTCAGAACAGAATAATTACAATACTCGATAAAAAAAAAGATATTGAATGTGTTAAATAAAAAACAATTATAATATCATTTCTCAATATAAGCTGCCAAAAAGGTAAACGTGATCCAACATAGATTTCTAACTGCTTCTTCTGATGTTTTAGTTGAACTTCATAAATTTTCTGATGGTTCTTGAAAAATATTATCCCAGCTCTTCAATTACACCAATGTGCAGCACGTGAGCTTGAAAGGATCTTGCCTCAAATGAACCAACTGATCCAAAAGAGCGAGACGCAACAACTTTGTTTACAACAAACTCTCGTTCGGGTAAACGAACTTGGAGCGTATAGAAGGCACGTTGAAAATGTTGTTTTTTCCCATTTAGTAAAACCCCCGTCCCCGTCCGTCCGTTCGTCCGTCGGAATCGTATTCTTTTTAGTCTTTTCAATTTTTATCATGATAGTCTTATTTTTTCTTTTCGGATCCGTTTGTGTGCGTATATTCTTCCCGCCTTCTGATGAGCATCTACTACTCATTCATTGACGTAGAGAAGACGAAGTCGCCACACACGTGGGTTAAAAGAAGTCGGAGAGACGGCGTGAACGAGATGAATGAGCATTTCGGGGAAATATAGCAACAAACATCGATACATATTAAATCATCAAGATATGTTGTTAGCCGGACGGCGAACGTTGGACCGGCGATGCGCCGATGCAACGCGCCGCGGTTTAGAGACCTGGCGTCTTCACTCGCCCGCAGAGCGATAATGTGTAATAAATTTTGATTTTCTGATTAAATTGAGAATGTCGTCTTTGAATGAGATACGTAAGGGGAATCAAATAAATAATTTCAAATATTTCTTCACAAGCTTTTCAAGTTCAAGTTTGTTTTATACACAATTAAGATCGTAAGGATAAGTTGCTCTTTACATTTATTCCTTTACCAGACCAAACATTTATTGAAATTAGAGATTTGTTGCATCGTACGAAAGGGATTTTTTAAATTAAGAGGCCAATTCTTGGATAAAATAGTAATGTTAAGATAGGGGTCAATAATTGTATGACTTCATACTCATCAATTGTCAAAAGACCATTCTAGCGTTTTGCACATACAACCTAACCTCCAAAAGGTCCAAAAACGAAAATATTAATTTCGGTCAGACTTAACGTGTTGTTTCGCATCAGGTAATTAGATGGTAGGACATTGCAACCTGCCAATACGACCCTTTTCGCCCTCTATGTCAAAAAAAGCCTCAATCATCCCTATTCCAATTTCAACTGCGAATCCTTTCGCATCTACATATCACTTTTAATTAGTGAATAAATGTATTAGTTATATAAGTGTAACCTGTTTCATTTCTATTCAAAATCTTAAATCTGCTATTATGGCACAACAGTGTGTTATCAAAGTGACGTCAGAAAGTTGCACTTATAATTGTGCCTGGAAGTTTTAGAAGTAGATTTAGACTAAAACGTTCCATCTACCTCTTTGACAGTTCGCGACTACCAACTCATACGAATATAGACCCATAGCATAACATTTCTATTTTATGCGTAAATTGACCCCTCAACTTTCATTCTTGAGGAAATTTCAAATTATGAGACCAATTTTAGGATAAAATAGAAATGTTATATTACGGGTCTATAACTATGAGTTGGTAGTCATCAAGACTATTCGAGCGTTTCACACATAAAACCTAACCTCCAAAAGGCACAAACGTCAAAATATTAATTTTAGTCAGAATTCACGTGTGTTATCAAAGTGACGTCAAAAAGTTGCACTTATAATAAAACTGACATTAATATTATTTGACATTTGTGCGTGTAAGTTTTAGAAGTAGATTTAGAATAAAACGTTCCATCTACCTCTTTGACAGTTCGTGACTACCAACACATATGATATTATAGACCAGTGGTCGGGGAACCGAGGTAAATTACACCAAATCGGGTAAAAATGAAATTTTTGGGGCAAAAAGCAATTATTTTTAATTTATATTCATTCTATTTGCTACATAGTTGTCCATATGGGGGGAAATTTCTTTCGCGATGGAGGTAATATCAACTTAGACCAAAAAAATTTGGGGTTATGATTAAAAAAGTTCCCCGACCGCTGTTATAGACCCATAGCATAAAATTTCATTTTTATTCTAGAATTGGCCCCTATACTTTCATTATTCCGATGTGTTTAAATCGCAATTAGCAATTGAGCAAATACGATTTCAATGTCAGCGAAATACAATTGAATGAAATACAAAGAACAACAGAACAATTCATATATTCATACTATAATTAAGGAGTGAAAAATCTTCCTTAATGTCATCATGTATATTCCAAAACAATGAGTATTAGAAACCAACAAAAACAAGCGGCCAAACGTACCAAACTGTAGAATTTGATTTAAAAATTCTAAATTGACAAAAAAATTGCCCTTTCCGGAAGAGAAATTTTCGAACGTTATCTACCAGCAACTCGGTGGTGCATTCTGACAAAAACGTACCTGCTGTAAACTTGACATTATTGTGTAAGTTATGTAATTTGTTTTATAGGAATCTGTGGACATTGTAAAACATTCTTTTACAGTAATATCTAAATTTACTTTCTGCAGTACCTTAAAGTTTAAAGCCATTTTCGTATTTAATTGTTAAAATTTTAAGGCGAGCCGCAATTATTAATAATTTACAAAACTTCATAAATTACATATACACCATACTAATAAAACTTTTAATATAAAAATACTAAATTAGAAAAAAGATTCATAAATTAATTGCATTAATGCAAGTATACATTATGCTAAATTTATTGAAGAAATAATTTCTTTTTTTTTTTTTTTGCATACTTTTATTGTCAATCAAAATTAAATACATTTTTTAAGACAATGTGATGTTGGTGTTAATGCATAATAAGAGATTATCTCCTATGAGATATCTCACTTTTATTTTTTTATTTTGACATTTATTTAAGGTCGTATGGCCATTTTTTTTTCAATCTGCGTGTGGGATATTAAAGAAATAAATAGAATTATATTTTAGAAATACTTGATTAGCCGCTGAAAAACATTTGAAGGGGCGCATAAAGCCCGCGGGCTGCTTGTTGCAAATCCTTGATCTTGATCGACGCTTCAATACGAACCGAGTCATTATGTATACGAACTGCCGAGTGATTAGCTAGACTCAAGTTGTAACCTCAGGGCGCCAGCCGAGCGCAAAGGGTTAGTAAATATACAAAATAATAAGTTAATGCACTGTTGAGAACAATTATAAGATAATCAATGTTGGATTTGGTACTTAACTTACAAACTTATTTTAACCTTTTCTACTCGGATGCCGCAAATTTTATATAAACTTTGCAATTCGCGAGTGGAAAGGTTAATATCTCTTCAACCCAATACAAAAATGTTCTGATACAATTCTTTTCAAAATTATTGAAATAGCATAACAACTTAAAAAGTGTCAGGAAAACTACAGTAAGCCAACCATAAAATCATTACTTCACAATTAGAATTTGCGAGGACATTAAGACGTTATTTTAATGAAAGAATGTCATTAAACGGCGAGCAAAACAATCCTATCGATACTACAATGCTAATAGTATTCTATATATAGGCGCGGTGGTCGAATCAAATACTCCTCGGCGCACGTACACACACTGCCAACCATCCATCCTTCCTTCCAAGGGAAAATAACAAAGTTTGTTTACAACTTTTATAAAGTCTCGAATCCGAGCAACCAACGGCAAGTAGTCGCCCGTAACATCGCGGCCGTTTCTTTCGATCAAAC